AAATTGCACCACTTATTTCACGGTTATTCAAACAAAAACTTACATTTTCCATGTATCAACATTGCCAAAATCCATTTGCGATAAAACAACAGCGAAAAAGCGTTGATCTCTCCCCAAAACCATGTTTTTTTGGGCATCGAAACAACATTTCGCCATACATTTCCTTCTAGCGACTTGCAATGTTTGCCCCCTGACGATCCCAGAGTTCTTTGTGCAAACACGGGTATCCGATTACTGGCAACTCATTCATTGCATGACTGTGTATGATCCCAAGCTCTTCACTGGGGAATTATCTTATTAAGTTTTTAATTCACAATAAACTTGAAGTATTGAAATTCCACTTAAACATCAAAATATTTAGCAATTTATTTCCGAGAGCCAGGCTATGGAGATTCTTCTTATTGTTGCTCAGCTAAACATGGCTCTCAGAGATGCATGAGAATTAATGTAAAAAAGGTTCTTGAGTAACTGAGTCCTTACGCAGCAGGTTCAGTGGCAATGTAAGGAGCAACAGGCTTGTCCACAAATCCACCAAATCCAAGCCGAAATCTGTTTGTGATGTTTCTCATTTCTTTTGCTGTCAAGAGAGGCAGAGGCACAGAGGAGTATAAACATAAATTTCTTAAAAACCAAACAAAAAAACAAACAAACAAAACAAGAAAGTTTGAGAGAGGTGCGGCAAATATTATTTGCCTACATGAGTGCATTTTCCCACCCAGTTGCATTTTTACTGTGCGCACATGTATCATATGTCTAATGGATACATTTAACGGTAAGCTTGCAATGGATTAGTTAGAATCTCATCCAAAATGTATTATAATAGCAGATTGAATTGAGATTTATTGATAAATTTGCGGGTAACCAATCAATAAAGAAAAGAACTTATTTCATCAACAGATCTGTCTTTTCTAAGAACACAATAATTCAGCTGCACTGGCTTCATCCAGTCCTGAATGTCTGGATCACAAGTCTATAAACAACATCTAATACATGTACATTGACATATTAATAATAATATCATGTGCATTTTTTAAAAAAAATTAATTTATATAGACAAAACAATTTCCCCTTCAACATTCTTCCTATTTAAGTGAGAGCCCTCTACATAAAACAGTCAAATGGTACAAAATCAGCCACGCTGGCCCACAACTCACACAGTGGGGCATCCAACACAAAGGCACGACAAGCTTGACTGTTGTGACCTCCATTATTTGATTTGGATTTTCCCTTGCATAACTTGTGGCCCAACATGGTGAATTTTGATTTGTGTCACCTGACCAGGTTATGCAAAGGATCTATTATAACTAACAGATGAAAATTCTCTTTGAAAATGCATAGCTACCTATTTGCTGGCCAAGAGTGGGAAACTTCTTAAGATCTTCTACCATGGAACCAGATAAATCCATCAGGTAATACAGGTCTACTGGGTAATTTTCAGGCATCTTGACATCTACCTTGATGGTTGCTGGTTGACCTATCAAAATATATACAGTAAATAGAAAAGTTGCTCACAATTGATCTGATGGGAGAGCAGTGCAACTACATCTACCCCAATCCATACCACAAGAATGATACTGTACTATGCAAAAACCCTGTAAGGACAGTACCAGGGTAAATTAGCAACCAGCCAGGGTTTTTTCTACTCTCTCTCTCTCTCTCTCTCTCTCTCTCTCTCTCTCTCTCTCTNCCCCCCCCCCTCCCCGCCAGAGAAGTACTAGGGAGCTTAAGCAACGACGACGAAGATGCCGAGGACAATGCTTAATAGAAAATGAACTTATATTTTACAAGCAAAATTCATGATTGTCTACATGTGTAGATCTGTTCAGTACGCCAGTGGCTCTAAAAATGTGCTTAAGCTAAATATCCAACGACGGCATTCAGTTCCACATGGAAATACGAAAAATTTGCCGTCATCGTCCATGTTTCGTAGATGACACAGAGCTTGGTCATTTCACGTTGTTGTTTTGCAGAGGACAGCAAAGTGTCTTGTCCAAGGAAACAACACAGGGGTTGAACCCAGACTGCTTGATCAGGAGTCCAGTACTAACAGAAACCATTAAGCACCCACATCCACGGCTGTCGTTTGGTTTCGATCTTCACACCTGTAACGAACTTGTTACCTTGTGGGTGAATGGTGTCAACGAAAGGCAAGTTCGCCAGTGACATCAAGGGCCATCAAGTATACTCAGCCTAACAGACGTTATGGGTTATGGTTCTTACTGACAGCCCTGATGTCTCCCACAAGATTAAGAGGAAGTGCATTTCACTATTTTACAAGCACTTACTTACCACTGGAGAGTTAATAAGCTATTGTTAATCATGGCATTTCAGCAATTTCCACACAACAAATTTCAGATCAGAGGACGGGAACATGCCCACTGAGCCAGAGAGTAAATGTGCTATTCCAGCAAAAAAAAACACTTATCCATAGGTCCCCTTCCACAGAGGGTTTTTTTCAATTGAACATCCTCCCTCCTCCCTCC